CATCATCTGAAAGCTGAATAAATAAGCTTTCCATTGATGTTGTATTTGGGATTAAAAGGGTTATGCCAACAAATAATTTCAACTCACCTGGGGGTCCGGTATCTCCTTTAGGTCCAACAGGGCCCCTATCGCCTTCAAAACCACGCCTTCCTGGGAATCCCATCATTCCTGGTTCTCCATTTACACCTTGAAATGAAACAAAGCATTCTTACATCATTACAGTTATTTTTAAGTTAAGGCTCATACTGGAACAAAGTAAACAATCTAAACATTTGCTCATCTAATATGATTTTCATGTGAGAAGGTGAGAAAGTGCATGGTGTAATTGTCTTAACATAATGACTACTGGTCTTACGTTTTGATTTTGCCAATGCAATGAAATCATATTTCATAATCTACCTTTTCTTCCTGACACTCCAGGTTCCCCTGACGGTCCTTTTTGTCCTGCGCCACCCTGGACACCTTTTTCTCCAGTCAATCCAAAATCACCTGGATTTCCTTTCTGTCCTTTTGCTCCAAATAGAGAAGGGTCACCTGGGATCCCTCTGGGACCAGGGAAACCTAAATGATAACAGCAACGGGTTTCAGACAAGATGGAACATTCTCAGAATAAATTTTCAAGAAAGATTGTAGATTCAGAAATAAGCTATTTCTTGTGAGGCAAAGTGACACTATATATTTACTTCAGTCACTTACAAAACATATTCATCCTGCTAAATGTTATTTCAAATGGTTGTTAATAATTGAGAGCCAAAATCCACTTAAGTATTCCATCTCCTCCTCCTTATACTGTCTCCAGGACTCATTACTAGTGTTTATTGTAAATATATAGGAACGAGCCCTTCACCTGGAAGTCCTTGTTGGCCTGGAAAGCCATAGTCGCCTTGCACTCCTTTTATATCAGAGAATCCTTGTTGACCCCGAGGCCCCGGTACACCAGGACGCCCAGATTCACCCTTATTACCTGTAAACACAGCAGTGTCAGTGTAGAACTGATGCATAGCTGCATCAAATAAACAACGCACAAAACTCCAGTTTCAGAATATGAGGTTTGGCATTTTGAGCTACCTGGATCTCCAATGAAACCCTTGAATCCCACCTCTCCGGGGACACCAGCCTCTGTGCTGGGGATGCCGGTCTCTCCTCTCTCTCCTTTTGTTCCTGGCTCACCAGAAGGACCCAAGTTGTCAGAACCTTGCAGGGGACAAACCATACCAAAGCGGTCATTACATACCAACATATCAAAGATGTAATTTCTGCATATACATGATATAATAACAACAACAAACTTTTCTAAAATGAAAATCATGTAACAATTATTATTCATAAGTGAAGACAACAAGGTGTATAATGTGATCAGTCCTATGCTCTAGAGGTACCTGCAACACCCTTGATACCCTTTTGACCTTTTAGGCCATCCAATCCAAAAATGCCTTTAAGACCAGGAAATCCTACAGGAAATATAAGCCAGCCAACATTATATATCGATCTAACAGCTCTCTTTAGTGTTTTGCAAGTCAAGTGACTAGACAATGAATATTTACAATGCATACTGTTTTAAAGCATCTTTACAGAAAAAGCATGTTTTAAATTTACACACAAGGCAAATCTGCCTAGGTATGTTGCTGTTTCATTAAACATGACCATTAGAACTACAGACCTTTTTGTCCTAGTTGGCCTTGGATTCCAGGGGTTCCTGCCTGTCCAGGCACGCCAGGCCAGCCCTTCTGACCCTGGGTTCCTGGGAAACCTTGTAGGCCGTCAGAGCCTGATAAAAAAATCGATCCAGTTAAAAACATTTAATAAACAATGAAATTGTTAAATCAAAGGATAATGATCAAGGCTCTTGTACCTGGTCGTCCAACTCTTCCAGGTTCTCCTGAATAGCCTTTCATCCCTTCAATGCCATCAAAACCAGGACTTCCTCTGTCTCCAGTGTTACCTATGAGACCCTTCTCACCTTACCAATGTACATTGAAAACTCATTAAAGAAGCAGTTCGATAATAGGGACAGTAAAATATCATCATACTGTTTGATGCACTATAGAATATAGAAATTTCTTACCAAAAGGTCCAGGAAGCCCAGTTTCACCTCTCAGTCCTGTTGATCCTGGAAGACTGATGGTAGGACCAAATTCACCTTAAATAAAAGATTCTTACATAAACCTTTTTGGCAGTTTATTTAAAGAGTATGAGAAAGTCATACATTAAGTATAGCATGGGCGTTTCAGAGGTTTATTTATAAGCACCTTTTATTCCCTTGATTCCAGATTCTCCAGTCCGTCCATAAGCACCAGACGTGCCTTTGTCACCCTGCGATTTAAACACAATGAGCCACAATGACTAAAAGCACAACTTTCAAAACATACTGTGCAATGTTTTAAATCATAAATGGTTTTCAGAGGGAGATGGAGCTCATTGTCATACCCTGGGTCCAGGCATTCCAGGAAAACCTTCAATTCCAGACTTTCCTTTATGCCCTGGCATTCCCTTTTGCCCTGGAAATCCTTCTACTCCGGGAAAACCTGTAGTACCTTTTGTATAACTGGGCTTACCCGGATGTCCATCTTCACCCTCCATTCCTGGAACACCTGGAAAACCTTTTGTACCTGGCCAAAGACAAGTTGAAAGAAAAGCTATAGGTGTCTGTCTGAAAGGAATCATTTTGTTCTATTACCATTAACAAAGTTCTTGTGATTCCACACTGACCATATGCAGAAATGTAAATAATCGCCTTATGAACAAATTCTGATTAACATTCAGGGCCCCTATATGAAATATGTTATTCTTTGTGCCCTTGAGTAGTAAATAACATGAGTGTAGTTACCTCTAGGACCAGTGAAGCCAGACTCTCCCATTTTTCCATGGTCACCTTTAGCTCCCTTGATGACCTCTTTCATATGTGGTGGTATATGCATGATTGGCTTTTCACCTGGAGGCCCCATCAACCCTCTTTCACCTTGAGAACAAGCACAGACAAGACATTGAAAATCCACCAAGTATACAATAAGTAAAAGACTACAATGACAGTTACTATATTAAAGGCATCATCTCACAAGGAATCAACGCAAAATTGCTCACTAGTACAAGCTCCTAAATACAAGTTGCAAAAACTTTCAGTGTAATCTTAGTATTGTGCAGCACATTTCAGCACAAATTGTTTTATGCATCTGTTACAAAAAAGATGGGAATGCTAAAAAACAATATTACATGAAAAAAAAACATTGAATAGAACAGAAAATGGTAATGAAAAACTAAATTACGGAATTATTAACTTTATAAGTAGACTTTACAAGTAACTTTATAAGTGGGGAAAACAAATGTATTATATGACCATGGTAACATTAGATTACATATTGTGTATGATGTACACACATAGAGAATCATGCTCTGTATTCACCTTTTAGACCTAGAGCGCCATGAGGTCCTTTTACACCTTGTCGTCCTGGATCACCTATTGTTCCTTTCTGTCCCGAAAAGCCCTTCAGACCATGCTCACCAGGCATTCCAGGGAAACCCGTCATGCCCTGACCACCTTTGGAACCTTTATTGTTAAGAAACAATGCGGCACTCAATTAATTCCATTTATAATTTTTATTTTAAGCACCATCAATGATCAAAATGTTGCTCAATCTATATACACTACTATATTGCAATATACACAATATACACTACTATATAAAAGTATTGGGACACCCTCTTCTAATGAACAGATTTGACTACTTTAGTAATTTCCATGAGTAAAAATCCTAATGTTTAAGCATATAATGATATAAAAACTCATCAACAAGCACCAATGACTTGTACATACAACTATATGGACAAAAGTTCTTTAGAACAGAAAAAGGCACTTCCAAAACTCTTGCAACAAAGATGGAAACAATTCATGTATTTAAAAATTTTACTGTATTTCCATCTCTGTTCCAAAAGTTTTGGAAGTGTCTAAAATGGCTGTACCCATATGTACAAGTCATTGATGTTTGGTGATGAGTTTTTGGCTCATGGTCTGCATTTAAAGTGTTCAGCTGGGATTAGAACTTTGCTTTCTGCAGACCAGTCAAG